AACACAAATCCAAAAAGATTTTGACAGACTTCAACAATGGGTCCTGCACATCAAAATGAAATATAATGTGGAGAAAGCAAAATTTTACACCTGGACAGGAAAAAACAAAGGTACATGTACATATTAGGTGAAACCTGGCTCAAAAACTGTAAGTATGACCTTGAAGTCCTAATGGATGATCACTTAAACATGAGTCAGCAGTATGCGGCAGCAGCTAAAAAAAGCTAATACAATCCTTGTTTGTATAAACAGAAGCATAAAATCAAATCATATGAAGTATTTGTACTGCTTTATAAAGCTTTAGTAAGGCCACACCTGGAATACTGCATCCAGTTTTGGCCACCACATTACAAAAAAGATGTTAAGACTTTGGAAAAATGTGCAAAGAAGAGCAACCAAGATGACTAAAGGCCTGGAAAGTAAAACATATGAAGAACGGTTGCAAGATTTGGGTTTGACTAGTCTAGAGAAAAGAAGACCTAGGGGTGACATGATAATGGTATTCCAGTATTTGAGGGGTTCCCACAAAGAAGAAGGGGTCAACTTGTTTTCCAAACTACCAGAAGGCTAGACAAGAAACTAATAAAGGAGAAAAGCAATCTGGAATTAAGGAGAAACTTCCTAACAGTGAGGACAATTAACCAGCAGAACAGCTTTCTTTCAGAAATTATGGGTGCTTCATCACTGAAAGATTTAAGAAAACATTGGACAGCCATCTGTCTGAAATGGTATAGGGTCTCCTGTCTGAGCAAGGGGCTGGACTAGAAGACCTCAAAGGTCCCTTCCAGTTCTATTTTGATTGATTAATTTACTAACCAATGCAAGAGAATTGATATTCAAATGTCCAAATTATCCAAAACTAAATAGACAAGGTCAGGATGCTCAAGAAAAGTACTTATAGGCAAAAATTTGGGATAAAAAACCAATATTTCAGTATTGGTCTTTGGGACATGTTTTAATAAAATTAAAATATGGTAAAATGCTTGCTCATGCTACACACAGCAAGCAGTTATTTGACAAATTTGTTTCCAATTTATGATAATTTATCCAAGCTAATAACCATGGTTTATGATCATTGGCCCTAATTATAATAATCAATTCTAACTAATTATCATAATGTATGATAATTGATCATAATTGACATAAATTATTTATTTTGCTGACTTATAACAGGAGCAATTATCATAATTTATGTCAATTATTTGTTATTAATTGCTTTTGTTATAATTAAATATCAAAAGTATGATTGTTCCTAATTACCGTATTTGCCGGCGTATAAGACGACTGGGCGTATAAGACGAGCCCCCAACATTTCCACTCAAAATATAGAGTTTGTTATATACTCGCCGTATAAGACGACCCCCCCACTTGGAGGCATGTTTTTCAGGGCAAAAAAGTCATACGCCGGCAAATACGGTAAGTTGTAACACTTGGGGTATTCTGGATATAATTCTTGATTGACACCCCCGTCCCTTTCCCCCAAACTTACAAAGCCACCAAAATGCTTTAGAGAGGCAGCTTCGCCTTTCTCAGGCTGGCACTCAATTCCTCTCCCTTTCTTTGCGATCTGCTTTTTTCAGGGGAAAATAAATAAATAAAAATAAAACTGGACGAAAAACAGTCGAGTTGTTTCTTAATATCTTTCCACCTCCCCAACCAATTTGTCTCCAAGGGTGCACCACACTGATTGCGACATTAATTATTTCAGAGAGAGAGGGTGGGGGGGGGGAGAAATCTTTGCTTCCTACTGTGGCTTTTTCCTGCGCATCGTTTTTTCCCTTGGCTTTGTGGTTGTTACTTCTTACAGGGAGGGATAATGAAATACCCACACTGGGAGAAAGCGGAAAGGATGTCTATTTTCCTGCTCACTAACTTTCCAGAAAGCGTCGAGTTCCTACCCCGAGACTTGCCAAAAGTCCAGTTCATTCATTTGCTACCTTTCTCCAATGAGATCCAGATCTGTTTCCACAACGCGCTTAGGATCTTATCTTAGTATCTTATTATTATCTTATTAGCCTTGCTCGGTCCCTCCAAGAGAGAAGAAGGCAGACGGTTTTGCGCTCAGGGAGAAAGGAAAAGAGCCTCTCGCTCACGCTGCACACTGCCCCCCACTCCACCCCAGCAACGCTTAGGAAAAGAGTTACACAAGCATCCTTTCCAGAAGTGAATGGGGGGGGGGAGGATTCGGAGCAAAGGCTGAAACCGGGAAGAGAAAAATTCCCAAAGAAAATCGCACGAGCAGCATCCCATTCCTGGGAGAAAAACAAAAAAACAAAAAACACGAACTCTTCCCGAAGCACAAAAGCAAGGATGGCGCTTTCTCAGCTTTGAGCTGCGTCGCTGCTCTCCCACCCCCTCCACTCGTCCCCACGTGCGGCGAAGTTTCTGCCACTGGGGGTGGGTGGGTGGAGGGGGATGGAAGGAGGTGAGGGATGGGGGCAAAGCCTGGAGCCTGCCTGTCCGCTCGCACGAGCGGAGTGGGTGGGTGGGTGGGTGGGGGAGGAGGAGGAAGAGAGACTCCGGCTGGGCTTGAAGGGGCTTCGCAAGTTGCGGAGCTCCGCCCCTGTCGCTCTTGCACCGAGTGACAACAACATATTTGCCGGCTTATAAGACGACCTTTGTTATATACTCGCCGTATAAGACGACCCCCCCACTTGGAGGCATCTTTTTCAGGGCAAAAAAGTCGTCTTATACGCCGGCAAATACGGTATCATTTATAATTATCATTGTCAAAATTTATAAGCAACCATAATCATGATAATTTGCGATAACCAATTATTATAATTTATGATAATCAACCCAATTATCATAATTTATTTGACTACTATGGTGATACAGTGGTTAAAGTGCAGTATTGCAAGAAAACTCTGCCTACATCTTGAGTTTGATTCTGATGGGCTCAAGGTTGACTCAGCTTTCCATTCTTATGAGGTTGGTAAAATAAGATTATTGTGGGCAATATGCAAATAATGCTTCAATATTGTCAATCTTTCAGAGAGTGCTGAAAAGCACTATGGGGCGGTATATAAGCCTAAATACTATTGCTATTGTTAATGCTACTATAATTTATGCTACTATAATTGCCTCAAATTATACTTTTCAGTCTAATAATAATATATGATAATTATCCCTAATTTCTATTCCACCAGATTTATTTATTGAATTTATACCATCTCTTTCTACTTACAGAACATTCAAGGCATTTTACATTATTTAAAAAAATACACTTATTCATTGTTTCTTAATTTCTTTAGTAAATCTCATATCACATAACATCCTGTAGCCTTATCAGTCTAAACTCAGCAGATGAGAAAAAGTGCTTATTCTTAGACAGACTCGTGCTGACGGAAAACAAATTAAAACCATCCTTTTCTTAGTTTTCTCCATTGAAGTATTTATTTTGTATATTTATTTTTCAAATTTATATAGCTGCCCACCTCACAAAGCAAGAAAAGCTGTATCCAGGTAACTAGTAGCCTAATCTCAATCTGCTTTCAGAATGCACAACCAAGGGTATTTTCTATGAAAAAAATAATAATATACAGAAAACATTTTTTTTCCTGAATATTTGAACCACCAGCCACCTTGAGGGATGTGAGAAACTAAGAAAGGTAGAATAAAGGGGAAGAAAGTTCTTTCCTCATACATCTGACTCTCCAATTCTCAAGGCTAATGATTTATCATAATTCACAAATGGAGGATTAACTTTGATTTCATCCTGAAATTGTGTAAAATACTAACCATGTGACTGACAACATATTGGAGACTGAGAACACTTCTTCGTTCACAGAAAGGTTGAACTCATGAAATATGAATAATGCCCTAGTTGTCACCAGATACAGTTCCCCAGCTAAAAATAGCCACAGAGAGAAATGGAATCCATTTTGACATGATTTTGTCTGCTGAAAGTAATGGGATGAACTTGTAAGCCCACCTGGGAGATACCAGGAACAGAAGAAGACCCTTCTTAATCAGTTTCAGTGATTGACTTTCCATACAGTCCTCTTTTCCACTGTATTCAAGTAGATATTTATTCATGAAAGCAAACAGTCTTGATTTGCTTTCCCAACAATTTACTACTCAAAGATATATTATATCTGGAACTTAAGCCACTGTCTATGTTTTTACCCCTCTCCAGGAATTCTCTTTTTATTTTATTTATTTGTTTGTTTGTTTGTTTGTTTGTTTATTTATTTATTTGGTCAAGCAATTATAAGATAACAGGTATAAGTATAAACATAGTTATAAATACTTGAAATGGATACATATAAGAAAAATAAAAACAAACAATAGGACAGGGACGGTAGGCACGTTGGTGCGCTTATGTGCAGACCACTTAGAAAAGGGGTGAGGTCAATAGTAGACAGTATAAGGTTAACGTTTTTGGGGTTTGGGGAAGAAACTACAGAGTCAGATAGAGTATTCCAGACATTGACTTTTAAAATAGTCTTAGCTATATCTTATGATGATAGCTCTAAATTAAAAGAAAGTGCCTACAAACAAGACTTCTATTCTTCTTTAGTGTCTAGGTGCTTTTGATTTTTTAAAACATTAATTTTGCTGACCTTTTTGAGCTTGCTTTACTGCTGAGAAGTGGTAGGGTGGTGATAAGGGTGCTTGCTTCTGTTTCACGTTTCTCCAATTACATGGAATCTATTCTTTTTGTGACCCGAAGAAGTCACTATAATACCTCCTCTTGCTATTGAACAGAAGCAGTGGAAACTAGGGAAATTGCAAACAAGTGAAGAAATGGTGGCATACCAAAATACACACACACATATGTACCTTGCAACCATTCAAAAACCAAGTTCCTGAGACCCTTTCAAGAGAATTTCACAATGTTTTGTTTAATAAAATAATTTCTATCAAATTGAATAAAAATGGTTTTAAAAATCCATAGCTACATACCTTTAGGCTTATACATCACTCCATTTGCTTTACAGCACTCTCTGAGCAGTTTACAATGTCAGCATCTGGGTCCTTATTTTATCAACCTTGGAAGGATAGAAGGCTGAGTCATCTTTAAGCTCCTTCAGAATTAAACTGCCAGCTGTATAAGTAAAGTTTGCTTGTAATCAGTGGTGGGATTCAAATTTTTTTTTACTATGGGCTCTGTGGCTTGGTGGGCATGGCAGGGAAGGTTACTGCAAAATCCCATTCCCTCCCTGCCCCACTAACCTGCTTTCCAGCTCCATTCTCCTGTGCAGGGCAACAAAAAAAGACCCAGCCAATCAGCTGGGACTCAGGAGGCAGAGAATAGGGGGGGGGGGGGGGGCAGTCAGAGGTGGTATTTGCTGGTTCTCCGAACTACTTAAAATTTCTGCTACCAATTCTCCAGAACTGGTCAGAACCTGCTGAATACCACCTCTGCTTTTAATACTGCATTCTAACCTCTGTAGCACCATCAACAAAAATCCAAAAACAAATAAATGTTCTCTACTTCTTACTAGATGATTCCTTCACTTAACCATGCACTGCATAAAGAAATATTGGTTGTAAATACACCAAGAAATTGAGTTCTTACATTTGGTGTCCCTTTTGCAGTCTTTCTGAGGCACCACAATCCTTCCTGTAACTTTCAAAGCGAATACCGAGAACAAGTGAAATCTTGAGTATTTTTCTTTAAGGAGAAACTGATTCTGGAGCCAATGGTTTGAAATTGAAAAGATAATGAAGGTATTTCACTTGAGCAAAGGAGGCGAGAGTATTAACGTATGGTAAGAAGATCAACAGTTTGCTGAACCATAAAATACTTGTTTCAGAGCATAGAAGCTGTAGAAATGAGCCCAGGTCATGTCTCTCTTTCATTATTATGTGACAAACTCTATTTTTATTTCCATCTAACTAACTAAATTGCTCATATATATTTTTGCAAGGGATGGATTTGTAGAAATTTCTTCCTTGTCTGATTATGGTATATATATCATATTTTTGGACTATAAAATCAGGGTTGGGCTTCAAAATTTTTAGCAAAGGAAGCTCTGCCATGCTGGTGGGTGAGTGTGGCCATGATGGGCATGGCCTATTCAGCCTCCCGCATCAAGGGGGTGGCACTTTTGTGTTCCCTGGGCTCCAGAGGCTTTCCTCAACCCTCTGGGAGGGCGACAATAGCCTCCCTGGACTCCGGAGCAGGGGTGAGTTTCTACCGGTTCTGTCCACCTCTGTAGAACTGGTAGCTCGGAAGAGCAGCAGACATAGAACCGATTCTATGTCTGCTGATGTTTTTGCCCACCCGGGCTCTTACCTGATCTTTATTTCGATTTTTCAACCTCAGCTGCCGAATGAGGCACATCTGCAGTTAAAAAAGCAGGAAAAGAGGGCTGTTTCAAAGGCTGCGTCTCTGCACGCAGCATGCTGATGATGATTTACAGGTGTGCAGCTCACAGTGTGCAGGAAAGCTCGTAAATCCCGAACCGGTAGTTAACCCTGTTGTATCCCACCCCTGCTCCGGAGGTTTTCTGGAAGCCAGAAACGGGACCATTTTTGGCCTTCCTGAACTGCCGTCCCCAAGCCTCCATGAGCACCTTGCACTTACATGCATCCAAAAGGGGCCACAAGGGACTCCTTGGAGAGGTGGGTTTGGTGGACAGGGATTCTCTGAACTGCACAGAATCTTAGCTAGGGGCTCTCCCAACCCCCTGCGAACCCCCAGCAGCCGACTCCTGTATAAGATGCACTTCCCCTCCAAAAGTGGGTGGAAATGTCTGTGTGTCTTACAGAGCGAACGCTGCCAAAGCCCCGCCCACCCACCAGCCCCCACCCTTCAGCCTCTGCCTCTCAGTAATTTGTCTCCTTGCAGAAAACAGGAAACCACCTGGTGAGCTTCAACACAGCCTGATTTAGCACGAGCAGCTGATTGGCAGTTGGATCAGCCTCCCAGAATACCACTGATCAGCTGTTCCAGGCTGCAGGGATCACCGCCACTCATCGGTGCCAGCGCTGCCCATCACTGCCGCCACCTCCGTGTGCCACATTTTGGGTCTCCACGCATCCCATTTTTGGCTTCTGCATGTCCTATTTTCACTCTGTTTCACCCCACCTGGAAGGGGCTGAAAATGGATGCACGGAAGCTGAAAATGGGGGTGGGAGTGGCAGCCAAAAAGGGGATGCGGGGAGGCTGAAAATGAGATGCGCAGAAGCAGCGATAGGTGGCGATGGGTGCCGATGGGTGCCGATGAGTGGCGGCGATCCCCACAGCCTGGAACAACTGATTGGTGGTATGCCAGGAGGTCGATTCAACTGCCAATCAGCTGTGCATGCTAAATCAGGCTGTGCTGAAGCTGACCAGGCTGTTTCCTGTTTGCTGCAAGGAGGCAAATTGCTGGGAGGCAGAGGCAGTTTTTTTTTTCTTGTTTTCCTCCCCGAAAACTAGGTGCGTCTTATAGTCTGGAGCATCTTATAGTCTGAACAATATGGTACCTTAAAATTACAAATGCGTTTCATTTATAAATGTTCTCACTCTTCTAGTATCATGGCAAATAACATTTCTACAGGACAGAAGCCATTGGTTATACCTGTATGTAATTAGTGTAGAACCTTCTTTACCTCTGTATTACGATGATTCATCTTAGTAAACACAAGCTATTTAACAAAAGGGAAATATGATCAAACATAGGTGTGAAGCCACATTCAGGCCCATACATGGTGATAAGGAGATTGAAACATATTTATTTTCCCACCCACGTTGTGATCACAGGGTTTCATCTAGCAGCCTTGGACAACACTCCCTGTTCAGATGAAAGTAGGGCACTGTGTGACACGTTAGCCAGAAGTGCTCATAGTCACTTGGAATTAAATGCTTTTGGATTGAATCTAGGATAGTGACTAGGGTTCATTTGAACTGAGGAAGTGGAAAAGATCCATGATAAGGTTCTCAGGGGTGCAGAGGTGGTATTTAGCAGGTTCTGACCAGTTCTGGAGAACTGGTATGCAGAAATTTTGAGTAGTCAGGAGAACTGGCAAATACTCCCTCTGACTGGAGATTTTACAGTATCCTTCCCCTGCCATGTCCACCAAGCCACACCCACAGAACCAGTAGTAAAAAAAACCTGAATCCTACCACTGCAGGGGTGTCAAACCTGAGGAAGGATCTGAACGAGTGTATAAGAAGTGATAGTGTGTCTTTGGGAAAAACCTCAAAAGAGGTAATGGTGTATCCTATTTTGAAATCCACCTTTCGACCCAGTTTTGCCTGATGATTACCATATGGCCTCCAACTTCTCCACTGGAGGAAAGGATACAAAGATGATGGTGATGACTCAGCTGCATAGATACTGGTTGAAATGATCCTTTGCAGTCAAGGATTCAAGTTGGGCTTTGGATGAAATTAGTATTATTATTCTCATTGACAATCTGCAGCAGGATCTGTAGAATATGTGCATATGTGTGTGTGTGCTCTTTCTGATGCTATTATATTTCTCAGTGGCTTTTGATATCCTTGACCTTGGTATCTTATAGAATTTCCTGCAGGGGTTGAAAGTTGTAGAGACTATTTTATGTGATTCTAATTTTAAGTCTGAGTAGTTCCCGTCAGCTGCCACCTCAATGCTTGCCTGTGTTTCGCTAATATTTGGTGACAGAGTACCATGAAGAGAGAGGGAAAGAAGACAAGAGGAAAAATGAAAATAAGTTCTGTATCTCTTTGAGGGGCTACTTCAAGGTCACCTGGTTCAGTAGTGGTAGGCAAGGAACAGTGAAATCTCTTTGAGGGGCTACTTCAAGGTCACCTGTAGCTATATGGAAACCCTGCATGGGTTTCCATATAGCTTCCCCTATCTAGATGCTTTTAGAGGAAGACATACATCAGTTTGGAATGAGATATCATTAAGTCAATGATACTAGCATGGACATTTGAATTATTAGAGTGCTCTGATGAAGATTTTTATTTAATTCTATTAAAAATAATTTGGACTTTGCTTGTGTTCTAATCATACATGCACATACATAAACTCCTTTGGGCTTGAAGAAGACATGTTCTTGTGCAGTTCATCTGTGGATAGGGAGGTGGGTCTGCAGCCTCAGTGGGGAAGCACAGTGTAGCATAATGGGGGTACTAAAAGGTCATTGTCCAGTCACCCTGGATGGTGCCAGACATGCCAGCAGCCCTGGGTACTGAGATGAACAACCGCTGGTCCACAGGCTGCCCACATGCAGGTTTGTGACATTTGCCAGTGATTATTTATTCATTTTTTTTGCCACCCATCTTGGCACAAGGTGATTCTGCCAATTCCTTTGCCACAACACTGCAAAGCTCAACAAAATGAGTTTGGACTGAATTGATTTGCAGATAACTTGCATAAGAAAACTCTGTGTATAATGGAGTTTTAAGTGGAACAGCCTTTGCATAGGAGCAGTCCCATTCTGCCAGTGATATGGAGAGATAGGGAGAACTGCAGTGATATGGAGAACTGTTAGAGCTGGAGTCCTCTCCTGCTGAAATGGATGACCATGACATGTGGATGATCTTGCTATGCTCTTAACACTCCATGCCTGACCATTGGTCTGTAGATCTGTCTCTTCCTCTCAATCTGCTACAGCCAGACTGCTGAGTAGACAAATCCCTTATTTCCATGATAGCGAACCTATGGCACGTGTGCCACAGGTGGCACGCAGAGCCATTTGTGCTGGCACAAGAGCCGCAGGCAAACTTACCTCACTGTGTATGCACGTGCCTCATAGCTGATTTTCAGCTGGTTTGAGGCTTCCCAGAGACTTGAAAAAAAGCCTTTGCAGGCCAAATAGGCCCATTTTGTCACTTCCTGTTAATACCGGAAGTGATGAAATGGGGCTATTCAGCCTGCAGAGGTTTGTTTCAAGCCTCTGGGAAGCCGAAAAAGGCCTCAAACCAGCCTAAAATCAGCTGTGAGGTGCAGTGCAGGTAAGGGAGGGGTGGGAAGATTGCGTACGCATGCGCAGGGGGCATGGGGCGCACGCATTGCCTTCTGGGTGCTGGCACACGAGTGCCTGAGCTCCAGCGCGCATATAATTTTTTGCATAGGAGCCCAAAAAAGT